AGTTGAGAGTGTATAATCTCCAAAGCTAACCTTCTTGAATTTCAGAACGACGCAGTATACATAACAAAAAATGGTGAATTCTTCCAAAAAAAAAAAAAAACACCGAACAAAAGTAATATATACCTATATACATATAGATCCTATGGCATTCCGGCATTCGTATAATAATTGGCACGTTGAGATCAAAACTAAATAATTCATGATTTGGTTTTTTTTTTTACGTGAAGCAATATAGTTGTATTAATAGAAGGTTGTTACTTTGAAGCAGTTCGTTCCAGCTTGGCTGTAACTACTCCGGCTGCGTCAAATTTTAAAGAACAAAATCTCTTCATTTGTTGATAGCAATGAATAATGTTATATAATTGACTATTTTTATCAACGATCCAAATACCACTCGCCTGGAATGTCATATTTTCATRTGTACCATGTACGGTGTACCTAATATACGTACATCAGTTCCGAAACACAAAAACACACTTAAAAATAATATACATAATATTTCATATATAGACACATAGTTTAGAATATTATATGGAAGAAACGGTGAAGCGCTGCAAATGAGAACTTCTCAGATAAGTACTATGTTTTTGGTTCTCGGAAGTCGTTTGTTTTAAATTTTAAAAAAAAGTTCAGAATTTAAAATGTATACTTCTTGTCCGATTCGTGTACGTTAAATTCACTTTCACGTATTTGTGTACCACACGCCGTTCGTATAGTAGGTACATATTAACTGAGAATTAACTGTCGAGGGAAAATGAATAACATCTCCGTACTTTAAAGATCTGTTTTACCCGTCATGTAGAAAATACTGAAACACGTTAGAGTGGATTTATTTTCTCTTTATTTTCGACATTTATTGTTCCATTAAATACTATAGTAATATAATGTTATTTTTTAGCTACACTGATAAATTGATTTAAAAAAAAACGTTTTCTGACGTTCGTAACACTATTTTTCACATTCTACAGTGCCTATCGATAAAATATAAAACATCGCTATTTTCCTATAATAGTCAAAGGTTTGAGAGTGAGAAAAGGTCCGCTGTCAAGTCAAACTTGGTTGAATTTATGAACTTATATCAAACATAAAACGTTTAGAATACCTATCTATATAATAAAAACAAACTTTTTGAAGATATTCTCATTAAAAGTTTTAAAACAAWATATTTTAGTTCTTAAAATAAATAATTTGTTTTAAATATTATTATTTTTACTGTTTTATTAGTTTGGGATTGTTTAAATAGAATCATAAAAGTTTGATGAATTGTAACTAAACTTACCTATACAACTACAATTGAATTAATTGTGGTTATGCATAAATATCTTTATCATTAACTATTCCTCACAGACAATTCCGAAAAAAGATTAAAAATAGAGTGATGCCATGAACTGATTATATAAATATATATTATATGTATAATAATAATATTAATATTAATTTAATCAAAAAAAAAACAAAAATTAATGGAAAGCAAATATAATATATATAATATCAATATGTAAAAATATGTATAACTATCTTACTACGGAGTTCTACACTAGGGCCCTGTGCTTTTTGTGATTATCTAATATTATCTACATATCTATTAATCTGTAAATTAACCTTTTTACAATATTATATATAACATAAGTCTACCTTAATTGAAAATTATATCAAATTTTATAATATACATTTTATATATTAACATTATAACTCATACATTTTGTTATGCATATAAATGTATTCTTATTTGTTAAAATTTAAATTTAAACCATACAAATCCATGCAAATAATGGTTACTTAATTCCAAACAAATTAAAAGTAAAATTTACACGACTTGTAATGATCATTATTTTGTCCAGTCAGTATTATATATGGAGCRTTAAAAAATTATAACAATATTTATACAGTGCGTAGTATTATAATAATGAGCTTAGAAAATCTAATAAATGTATAGTAAGAGGATCATTTAATTCATATTTATTTTAAGCTTTCAATGCTCTATTACTCTGTTATACACAATTCATTTTTAATTTATACCATATAATTAAATGGATTATCGAAAATGTACGACTTACGCTAAAACTAATAACCTCACGACGAGCGCTATAAATACTGCACCAGTATTGGCTATACGACAACTGACTGAGCCTTCTGGTACAACAGTACTGGCTACAATGCTAGATAGTGCTACAATTGAGCTGGAAGACAAAATGTATTGGCAGCAGCCAAGTGTTTACTCAATCCGGCATACCATGGATGCCGAATGAATTGTGATCAAAGGCCTGTCATTGTGTGTCGTTGTTGTGCCAAGGTTTGATGGAATACTGGCATATTATTATGGGTATTATAAAAATTTTAACCTAAAGCTCAAGGCCAAAGTTCGTCTCCAGAGACAAGTTGACAAATTACCTGGAGAAAAATTGAAATCAACCCGAAAACATATTTTCACGTTATATTAGAACTTTGGATTTTAATGATTTACTAATATCATATACTTATTATATTATACTTGTATTCCTATTTCAAAYACCGCTAAAAGTTTCCAGAAAATACTATGAACACATTATTTATTTATTATTTTACTGGCGCATTTGGTACTACCCTGGTAGTATGTGAAAAGGGTCGTGGGTTCGAAAATCATAAGTTTGAATGCCGTAAGTTGAAACACATCGAGTATATTTTGAAAGATCAACTGTTCGAAAGGTTATACCTATTTTCGAAAGGTCGTAAATGTTTGAAAAYGCACCGTTTGCGCTGATATGAAATAATAATACTTGTTTATATATATATATATATAAAAATAATATAATATATTACATTTTATTGCCATATACTTCTGTTTGCAAGGTTTTTATACGTTCCAAGAACATCTCATACATTCAGATATGAAGTATATATTAAATTGGTTCACCTCCTTATAAGAAACATATTATAATCATTATTGATTTTACCAGCTAATAAAATTTACATCCGAATAATATTTTTTCCCCGTCATTTAGTAAGCTCTGTTAAATCCGAAATTAAATCAATCCGAGAGTGTACGATACCGTTTTCATTATGTTTTTTTTTAATAAAGRTTCATTTTTTATTACTGTTTTATTAATTAATCTATACTTCAATATTACAGARTTCATACGAGGATTATACAATTTCAGTTTTAGATTTTTTATTACCTTCTATCATTTCAATATATTTTACACATTATWTTCGATTTAATTTTATACACAAAAAAATTATCATAAGAGTTTATAATATTACATTAAGTATTTAATCTTTTGTAATTCATAATTTTCTCTTCCTGCCAAAAAAATAATAAACTCGATTATACTTTTTTCTGGATTAATTAATCCTTTGAAAAATATAAACATTATTTATATATTGTTAAGAATAACATAAAATTATTGTTCAATGAATAAAGCGAAAAAAATAGTAAAGGAAAAAATATTTGCTATAAGTGTCATACAATAATAATATAGACGTATAGTTTATATAGTTTATCACTATATTATACGTTTTGATAGTCCCCCCCCCAAAAAAAAAAAAAAAAAACAATAAAGTCAAACCCAATTAAGAGTGTTTACGATCGCATTTGACCACGATAAAACTGCACGACAAGCTTTGGTAAGAAATCTGTGGAAATCTTCAAGACCAAAGATAATATCGAAAAATCCAGCTTTATGAACAATAAAACTATAATTATTTACGACCKTAACCGATGGTTGAACGTAAGACCATTACTCACTGATTTCGATCAATGTATCAGATAGCTGTTATTATTTTTCTACAATAAATAAGTAGTAATCTTTTTATAATATGAACGCAATTTGTGCGAAAAAGTAAATATTACGATACCTAGTAATACATGTGGCTCGTTAAAATTTACAATCACCTCTTACAGGTTTCATAGCGGCTTTCAAGTAAAATCTACTATCTACAATCTACAACATACACATACCTAATATAATTTTAACTTAAATAAATTATAACATTTATAATAATAATACAATAATACATAAAAATGTAATTTTATTTCTCCCAACCRACCGCARTAATACTATTTTATTATGAATAGAAATAATATAAATATATTTAGGTATCTACACATTATTTATTTACAGATAGAGTATAAATTAATATATGTAAAACCTTGAAACTGGAGTCATAAGCTTTAACTAACTGGGGCATTAATATGTAGTAATACTGTAGCAAACGCAAATGGAAAGTTTATGCTTAACTCGTACCTACCGAGTACTTTTGAGTAGGGGTAGAGAGAAGCTTTCCTCGCTCAAGAAACTTTCTAGGCGTCCCCCATCGAAAAATTTGAATGTCCGAAAACATATATCATAGACAGATAAAACATTCATATCTCACGAGAATACAATATTTCATAACAAAACCTTTCTACGTAAAAAGATATTATTTTCATAGTGTACGAAGTTTTATTATATCATACAGAGGAACTACAGTATTCAAATGTGACGTAATATTATTATCATTGTAAAATATGCTAACCATTGATTATAGGTGCCTTTTACAGTTGTACAATTTAATGAGATCCACATTCGTGTATAGATTTTCTTCGACGAACGTGTTTAGCATTAAAATAATCGAATCGTTTTGACGACGACGTGGAGGCATGGAATAAAGGTTTCCACGCAAACCTTCCGCCAGCCAAACTGAGGGATTCAACGAATATCGTGAAAACTCAATTGTCAGTACATCGGTGATATATTTATACATTTAAAATGCAAAATATTGGTTGGAAAAAGGCTTTGAAAAAATCCTATGCGATGGTGAAAAGATTAGGTTAGATCGGTGGACTGACGGTGGACTGACGGTGGACTGACGGTGGAAGGAAGGTTAACCTGTTGATTTTTCGTGTATCACGAATCGTGTTAGACCGTAACACACATGCACAAGCACAGTTACAGACGAGTCTGTACTCTATAATATAGTCTATATAGTATACTGTATCACTGTATACGTTTGAAAAATAAAAATAACTTTCAATCACTCACCTTTACATGGCGACTACATGAGTGTACGTTTTATATGGTCAGCCGTGTCCCTATAATTTTCACTCTCCACCCTGGTGAGGGTGTATTTATGTGCTTACGGCGTGTGGGCTGACAAAACTGACGTGTTGAGTACGTGTGACAGACGATAGTAGCGTGTGCGGACTGTTACGACCGAGAGCAACCGACGTGAGTTGTAGCTGTACTCGTCTTCACTGCCGCCGCCTTGATCGACGCGTGCGCGCCGACACTCAAACAGGTGAGACTGCGCCCCCGCGGCCCTTCCACAAACTACGATCGCCCTCTCCAACTGACAGCGCTTATATGAATTTCTGCTAAAATTTATCACGTTAATTGTGTTTTTATCAATTGCAATTGCTTGTTAAAAAAAAAAAAAAAAACAAAAAGATAAAACTATACGTTAGAATAATTCTATAACGGTCGTCTAACCTAACCTATCTCATGTAACAGATACATATAATAATAAAGTGCGCGTGATTAAATCGTACAATATTATAGAACTTAGGCTTAATYACAGATATTCAAATTTAACAAGAAAAAATATAAGAATCAGTAATATAAATAGCTGAATTGTCCTATTGCAGCACGCTTATTTATAATTATTATATATAGATAGGTACAATCAAATATACTATTTGAGGACAGATACCACACCTCAGCCTTCAATATTACTCATTATTCGTAACSCTGATCAAGTATAATATAACTGTTAATAATTAATCAATTAGTCATTAATTATTATTATTATTTTTTTTTTTTTAATTATTAAATTGTAAAAAAGTACAATATAAAATAGAATAAAATACTTTAAACAGTTTACTAAATTTTTGGTTCAATCAATTACATTATATATTCATGTATTATACACGTATATACTATATAGGTAATAAGTAGGTACATCACACAATGACTTAATTAATAGGTATGATCACTACTTTGTGATACCCTTGTCTCGTCTATTACGTAGTTCTCCGCTTCTATTATATTCTATTAACATTGTCGATCAACAACATGAGGAGAACTACGAGCAATGGTTTGCGTATAGAATAGTGGAGATATACGCAAACCCGACGAGAATTTTTTTTTGTAATCATACCTACTTTTGTATTTTAGTCATACATCACACATCATATACGATGTGATGATGTAAATCACACTGCTTATATGCTTATTACCGCATCACATAGTATGTATCATGGTATGTATATAAATATATAGTAATTCACCAGCGAACAATCTCAAAGCCACCAGTTTTTCTTTAATATAATACAGTTATTCAAAATATGATTCTAGGAATTTTTAAGTAGGACAATATGTTTTTTAAATATTATTCATTGTAGAATTTAATAGGATTTTCCTACTCTTCATTTCTATCTTTTAATTAAATCTAACCTATTAACATCTGTTTACAACAAATTACCAAATAGATAATTTTCATTATAAAACTATTAATCTATTAGCATTATTTATGCATTTTATGCTTAATGTATGAACATATTTAGACTGTGCTAACTATTACTATAATATGGTCTAGTTCGTTAACTTTATTACATTGGAACCTACTCGTTCAAATTGTAATTAGATATATAAGGTGTAACAGGACTATTTAACAAATTTCCATTACAAATATTACTATATATTTGTCAAATAGTACTGTTACACCCTGTAGGTACTTCAACATAATCTTCTTAATAATTTACATTAAAAAAGGATGATTCTCATTTGGATTATTGAAATGTATAACGCCTCACATTTTAAATGGTGCAAAAATTTAATATGCATACAAATTTAAGAACTTGAAATTTTAAATAACTACATAATCAAAGAAAATAGTGAGGAGTATGGTTGGTGAATCTTTATTCTCCTTATATAATCAATATAATAAGACGAATTTTGATTTATAATTTTATCCTTGTCGTTTGTATAGGTAGGTACACTGATACTATTTAACTGAGTCAAAATCAAAACATTATTTATTACTTAAAATAACCCTACGTGAAGTATATAAACACTATAAACATTAATTATATGGGACTTTTAATCAAACGAAAGTTCGATGCAAAGGTTTGGTAAAGTTATTTTACTGGGTTTATGGTAATCATATCAAATTTAAAACTTCCAAATTCTTGAGTCATGGTGTTTGTTAATCTACCCACGTTGACCGTAAAAGTAAATAAGTTATTAAGTGTTTGTCAATAATATTAGGTTCCGTGAACGTGAAAATTATGTACAACACAATAATATATCAAATCGGTAAACTACTTAACTACTCGCGTATAAAATATATCGATCGTTGATGGTATTAGTTTTACTTATACAAGTTAAACCAACCATTTGATCAGAATATGGAATCAGGTGTTAGATATTGCATGTACTTCAAGTTCTCAACTCATTTAAGCGCTCAACCCAGCTCAGCACTTTCGTATACTGTTAATGATTATTTATTATTATAAACTATTAAAAACAATATTTTAGAATAAACAGATATGATAGATCTTTGAACCAATAGGATTATTATTATCTGAAACACAAGGAACATAACCAGTATATTTATTAATATACTAGTCAAATATCCACCAATTTTTAGCAATTTTGTTAGTTTTCCTTCGTAAATACAAAATATATTCCCCTGCAGAGAACATTGAAAAATTACTTCTCTAAAGTAGTAGTAGTAACTATTTTATTCTAAAATTTCTTGGTTAAAAAGTAGACACATCACGCATAACACATTAATAACTACAGTGCTCTTTCTGAAAAGTGATCACATGAAATAAAATATGCACATAAATAATAAAAATAAACAAATTATAAATCCAATGCATTACACGATCTACTTAGAAACCTACAAGTTGTTTAAAGTTTTATTACGTGAATAACATTGACAAAATATTATTAAACACCGCTATTTTATCTATCAGACACGCTTATCGGTAAAATAAAATGTTTACTGCGTTAAAGAAAAATAAATAGTAGATACGAATTCTACATCCTATGTTATCGGTTATCCTACTCTATTTCTATAATAACATTTTATTTGTAATTCATACATATTTAATAGATCTGAACAACTTCGCATTGTTATATCCGCAATCTTCAATAGTGCGTCCATCTACATATCTTATATATAATATAAAAATTGCAAACCCGGTTGTAAAGAGAAATTCATCGTTGAACAACTATCGCTTTAAGTGCAACAATTTAATATTATAAATTATGATATATAAACGTACATCATACATTCATACATAGCTAATAATAGCTATTTTTTTTAACTAAAAACAAACCTAGAAGTATTGATCTATCGAAAATAGATTAATATACCTATATGTGTGTGTGTTTGATTGTAAGGAACATACCATTTTGTATGTATTTTTAAGTGCGAGTTATTACTTAATTTTGTTCATTCTTATTCTTTTGTCAAATATAAAGACGCGAACATAGGTACGTATTGATATATATATATATATATATTATTATATTATAGGTATAGGTTATAACAATAATATTATATTGATTTTTAAAAGCCTTCTGAAAGTATTGAATATTTTCCACTTTTTCAGTTCTCCTTTATTATAATTATAGTAGTCGTTTTCATAGTATGGTCGTRTATTATATTTGTATTAAGTACTGCAATTKAATTTGTTCAGCTTTGACTCGTTTATAAAATTTCAAATTACGCCAATGAGATTGGTACTATACTTATTTAATTCTCCGCGTCATCTTATTGCCAAACAATTATTTCAAGTATTTTAAGTTCCTATGTAATAATGTTCTGATTATTTTCCATGTGTAATACAAATAATACTTACAGGATTTCTATGTAATTTGATTCACTTCATTACTTTCCCAAAGTAAACATTATCATGGTAAATATTTATTACTGGGTAATATTTCTCCAAGTTGTGTGTGACCCTATTAAGGTTTATGTTCTGACTGCTAAAWTCTATCGATACAAATGGAACATTCAACACAAATCCGTGATATATATTATTATGTTATATTATGTTATTAATGTACTGTATATAGAACAATCCTAAGATTTTATAACGAAATTAGGAGAGATATGAGGGATATTTGAGTCATTTGAAGTAACAATAAATTCTTGGTTACACATATTATATTATTCATTATATACATTATTACGATATTATATAACATATAATTGTGTCTTTAGTTTCAAATAAAATGAATGACATTCTTCTAGATTTTTCACAAAAATATTATGAATCACATATTATAATAGGTATCACTATGAGTATGAAACGCTCTTTAAAAAAATGTCTACAATTTACAAAAAAAAAAAAGGTGAATATGGTAATATTAAAAAAAGTCTCTTTAATGTATGATAGGTATTAGGTTTTGACTTTGTGGAACTCGCCATTAAGTAGTTGTWGGATGTGTTAAATAAATACTTATAATTAAAAAGTCCATTGTGCATTAAAATTTAAAAGCCATTACATATAAATAACAGTTCCAAGAGAGCATTTAGTATGTAAGCCACCTTTTTAAAGATATTTTATAGTTAGTTTATATTTACCTATATTGGTAATAATTAATACATTTCTGTTTCTAATAGGAACATAATATGTATAAATTGAAATTATTTTATTTCAAGAATATAACATKTATTATTAAAATACACATAAAAAACATAACCTAACCTATACTATAGGTTCTGTACTATACACTTCACTCACGTTTAAAATGTGAGATGGCACACTTCGATTAAATTAATTGGTAACTATAGTGGATGACCAAAGTACATACGAGAAGATTTATACGGCAGTAGGAACTTTAAACGTACCTAGGTAATCAATTGATTAGTTAGGTAATCATATTAATGATCAGCTGCTTCGATTGCTATTAAGTATTAACCAAACTCACAGACACGACTCTGTCAAACCAAAACATTATTATAAGTATATATTGTACACAGGTAATTTGTAAAGAACCGAAAGAAAAACRTGTCTCTAAAGTCTAAGTAACAACGCTAGATCGATGATGTAACTGGACCCGGACACCCAGGTCCAGATTCGGTCACCCGTTTTTTTTGTCCTCGTAATAAGTATATGCCTAACCCTATTATACGAAATTTGACGACAAAAACATATTGGCTGAGAAACACATTTTTTTGCTCAATTTCGTAGCAAGTTAATGCCGCGAGAAGAACGTGTAATGATAC